CTTAGTTATTGATTTTTTACAACTCTTAATAGAATCTAATTAGAACTTTTCAAAATCACGCTATTATCTCTTTTCATGATGACAACAAACAAACAAAAAACGGAAATTATTTTATGGTATGAATGTTTGAGTGTCAGTTATTATCTTACGATATTAATTTATATTCATAGTTTCTGATATTTTGACATCTATGTGCAAAAGAAAAGCAGATGAATCAACAAAATATCAAGTGGTACTTTTCAGGAATCAACATTAAAGCTGTTTAAAAGAGTTGATATAAAACGCAGGTTATTTTGTATCATTATTCTAATTAAAGTTTCCTCAAACTCATGATAATTTACTAAGTTCGTTTGATGTTGAGAAAATGTGTTTCATTCAATTGGTTATTGTATATTTTAAAAACTTCTAAAGTACACACTTAATCAACATAATTGACATATGGATAATCATTATGTATGGTCAAAATTCAAGGATTCCTTTGTGTTATCGAATAATTACTTCTTTTCTGTAGAGAGAAAATATCATTTACATTCGAATATGATGCCAAAATATCGATGATCACTTCTATATTAGACAAAAACCAACATGTACCTCAGTAAGCTGAAGTTTGCATTTTCAACTTTAGTTATAGAACCATTTTGAATTAAGGAATCGTTTTATGGAATGCCAATCCTTATAGGTTTGTTTTCAGATATCAACAAATACCGTTTCAAAACGATTTTCCATTAGTAATGAAAAGTCATGTACTGTAAGTTAGGAAAATTGATTATATTCGGATGAGATAAATGCTTTGACTATCAGACTGACTAATTTTAAATATGAGCTGTCCATAGCCTGTATGGACAGAGATATTTGAATTTCCAACTATTCACAGTCTATATTATGTGGCCAAACTTCAAAATTTGAAGCAATATTTATTTTTCGTTTTTAATCATGCTTAGTTATAGCTCGGTGACTTACATAAAGAAAAAAAATATCATGAGTATTCAAAAGCAATTTTACAACAGTCAGAGCTTTGTGTCAACTATCTTTACACTTAATTATGACCGTATCTTGGACTTTTTTTTGTAAAATTGTTTTTGAATAATTAGATAGATCAGATAAATCTTAGAATTAATACTGAAAAATAGGAACACAACTTTCAGAGGAATACTCAGAAAGCTCTCCCGAGAATACAATGTAGGGATGATGGCAGAAATTGCCTCATAACATCACATAGTGTGTGAATGAAGGTAGAGTTCTTCTGAACACGTACGGACATTGCACAAAGTATGGATGATGATAGAAACCTTCGTATTACGGACCACAGTTGTCAAAAGACGATCAATAAAAGCATAACATGTTCTCCTTGTAAAATACTGGATGAATGGTAGTCTTTTCAATGTCAAACACCCAAAATTCAAAATAGAAAAGCAACACCGTGTATACCAACACCTAGTGATCCTATCGCTTGGCGAAAAGAAACACATAACAGACATTTTATAGGTTGGTTCACGATATCGACTAAAGAATATAACTTCGACATTTAATCGGAGTAATCCCAAGAGAATCATGGGGGGTCGGAACCTGTCGGACGGATCTCAAATCCGTTTATATCCGACGATCGGATTTTTATTCGACGTAATCCGGTCCGAATTCTCATGCACAGGATTCTGACACAAACCAAGTAGGATCCGATCAAGATCACCATGAATTTCGACGGATTCCGCTACAATCCGCTACGGATACTATGGCTTCCGACATGATCCGCACGCCAGATCCGCTAACCTACGATACTCATAACGCGACGCCGGATTCTGTCAGACGGCTTTCGGAACCGCTTGAACACGACGATCGAACCTTTTCCGACGTATTCCGGTCCGGAATCCTACGACGCGAACATGACAGAAACTACCAAAAAAAATCGTCATATTCTTGCATCCAAGACATGGGTTTTCGAACTGATACGCTATCAGTTTCTTTACTTTCACCTATGAGATATGCAACAGCATAGCTCACCAGCAAACGAATCCTCCCCAGTACCACACACGCCAAGAAAGACGTGAAATACATTAGATATTCAAAATACTTTCGCTCATTGCGCAGTAAAATATAAGCAAAAGTGAGCATCCAAACTTCTTTCCACAACAAACTCCAGTATGCACTAAAACGGAAAACTCTCCTACCACCAAACGAAGCTAAAAAGACATCATTTACATGCGATTAGAAAATTAATTTTCAGCTGCCACAGTTTCGCTAATTGAGCAGAGCACAAGCGACCAATAGTGAGCATACAAGACTCATTTCAAACGATACCACATTAAACAGAGCGACCACAAAACTCATACGCCGAAAAATCTGAACTGATATGATTTAGATGCGATCTGAAATATAATATCTCGTTTCAACACTTTCCTTAATCACGAAGAATAAAAGTGACCAAAAGTCAGCATCGAATACTCATTTCAATCGATACGCTATTACGCAGAGAGATGACAAATCCCATATGCAGGAAAAGCCTAACCGATACAATTTACATGCCACCTGAAATACAATTTTTGTTTCGAACACTTTCCTTAACTCCAAACGATAAAATTGAACAAACGTGAGCATCGACTCTTCACTAAAATTCAGGCGCGACTAGGCAGAGAGAGGACAAATATCATACGCAGAAAAAGCTGATCTGATACGATTTACATGCGATCTACCGTGCACCTCAATTGATTTTTCCCCTGTTGCTTTTTTGCGTTTTTATCACTACAATTCATTTATTTTTTAACCTCCTGTATATGGGAAGAAAGCCTGGGAAAAGCTGCATCTTCTGGTATATTCATATTAAAAAACAGATGAAGTTTGCAGTATAAAAAAGTATGTTGAAAATATAGTGACATTTTTTTTACTACAAAATGCCTTTATATTTATTATTTATTGTAGAAATCAAGAAGAGTGAGTAGTTTTAGGATAAAATTCGATAGATACAAGACAGACACCTGTGGCTTTCACCATTCAAAAGAGGAGATAAATCTACATAGGTGATCATATTTTAGGTATTCCTTAGAAGCTTTACCTTGGTCTTTGGTCAAGTTTTCTAAAAAATTGACTTTTTTCGAGAAAAACTCCAATTTTTCGTCTGTAGAAGTATTGAATCTGTAAAGCACTTGACTAAAGACTCAGGTAAAGCTTCTAAGGAATACCTAAAATATGATCACCTATGCAGATTTATCTCCTCTTTCGAATGGTGAAAGCCACAGGTGTCTGTCTTGTATCTATCGAATTTTATCCTAAAACTACTCACTCTTCTTGATTTCTACAATAAATAATAAATATAAAGGCATTTTGTAGTAAAAAAAAAATGTCACTATATTTTCAACATACTTTTTTATACTGCAAACTTCATCTGTTTTTTAATATGAATATACCAGAAGACGCAGCTTTTTCCAGGCTTTCTCCCCATATACAGGAGGTTAAAAAATAAATGAATTTTATTGATAAAAACGCAAAAAAACAAAAGGGGAAAAATCAATGGAGCTGCACAGTATATGGTGATTCGCAACGCCACATAACCCTAAACCTATCTATATATATAATGTTCAGAGTGTGTGTGTGTTTCTCTGTGCCGGGTCAAAGGTCAAAGGTCAAATAAGATTCTAAGGGAGATATCTCCAGGGGCTACTTTATGGGGTACTTATAGATCCTCAAGGGCTATCCTATGGGGATACCTATAGGTCCTCAAGGGCTATCCTAAGAGGGTACCCATAGGTCCTACAGGGCTATCTTACGGGAGTACCCATAAGTTCTCAAGGGCTATCGTATGGGGGTACCTAAGGTCCCCAAGGCCTATCCTATGGGGGTACCCATAGGTCCTTCAGGGCTATTCTATGGGGTACCCATAGGTCCCCAAGGGCTATCCTATGGGGGTACCTATAGGTCCTCAAGGGCTATCCGAAGAGGGTACCCATACGTCCTCCAGGGCTTTCCTATAAGGGTACCCATAGGTGCTCCAGGGCTATTCTATGGGGGTACCTATAGGTCCGCAAGGGCTATCCTATAGGGGTACCTATAGGTCCTCAAGGGCTATCCTGTGGGGATACCCATCGGTTCTCCAGGGCTATTCTATGGGGGTACCCATAGGTCCCCAAGTGCTATCCTATGGGGTTACCTATAGGTCCCGAAGGGCTATCCTATTGGGGTACGCATAGGTCTCCAAGGCCTATTATATGGAGGTACCCGTTGGTCCCCAAGGGCTATCCTATGGGTTACTCATAGGTCCTCAAAGGCTATCCTAGCTGGGTACTGATTGGCCATCAAGGGCTATTATATTGTGATACCCATAGGCCCTGAAGGGAGTAACGCAATAGGAAGATAAGGCTATAAGGTCGAAGGCTACATTGCCTATAAACATATGTGCGATATGAGAGTATGAGGCCGTAGGGCTATCTATCTATATACATAATATCGAGTGTTTGTATGTATTTTACCGGATGCAATGTTAAATGTCTGAGGTCATGCGTTAAAGGACAAAACAGCCGTGCAGTATGCACGGGTTCTCGCTAGTACTATATATTCTCTGACATTTCCATTGTTGCTACAATTTCAAATTAATGACGTTCCGAGCATAGACCACGGCAATTTGAAACTTCCTCTACAGGGGCTTTATCATTGAAAATGGTTCCTTTGGGTTGACAATGTCAGAAATGAGTGGCTCTAGGGAGGAGTACTCTTGATCAAACCTTTAACATGGTATTAATTTCAGAACTACCGAAAAGGCACCATTCTTATTATGAACTGCGACGCTTTTGATTAAACCGAAGCAATATCGGAAGTATCATCCTCTTTAGTGGGGAGCGTGAGATAAATTGCACTGAAGAGATCACTCGATAATTCTCTGACATTGGAATTAACTAGCATTTCTTTACGATATATTTCGAATCATTCGTTTTTTTTTTGATTGTTGCACCATTTTTAATTTATCCGATATGAAAGACAAAAAAGGAACATTGAACTGAGGCCAATTAAAATTTTTAGCCGATCAACCCACCACTCAGTTCTAGCCAATGAAGAATAAAATCGTATTCATTTGTTGTTTCAACACCGTAGAAACTGAAATAAAGTCTTGGTGTATCTTGTTCAATATGTTCAATGTAATATTGCTGTGTTCCTCTCGTTTGAAATTGAACAGATTGTCCTGAATGAGGTCCTGGATTTGTCTCTGTCGTCGAAGTATACACCTCAACTTTTCCTTGAAGCACATTTGCTATTATTTCAATAAATCCTCCTTCATTATTTGTTTTGCGTTGAAGAAGCTCTCTTGTGTCTACTTGATAATATCGATAGGTATTACTAGGTACTTCACTTTCAACTTTCACATTCGGTATAACGAAAGCCGGTATTCCACATGTTTGAACAGTGATCGAATTAATCGCAGTAGTAAGATTAAGATAATTGTTTACATGCATGACATATTTTTTATCAGTGGCAATGGTCTGAAGTTCAACATTGTTGATAGCACTACCAATACCCACAGCAAATACACTAGCCTTAGTTATGTGCAGCATATGAGTAGATTCAATACCAACTGCTGTACCACAATTGCTGTTTCCATCAGTAAGAACGAGAACTACTCGTGATACACCTTCGTATAGTCCTCGACATCTTCTATCACAGATTGTTCGTGCCTCCTTGAGTGCATCTCCGGTAGCCGTGCAAGCGCCATTAAGATACTGAATATTTTTGATTTGTTGGATTAAATTCTCTTTTGTAAATTCTGACATCGGCATATTATGAAAAGCAATCGGTGTCTCAACAGTTTGTCCATAATTGATTACCCAAACTTGTACCTTTTTTGGACCTATTTGCAACATTGAGACTAACTCTACCAGAGCAGATTTAGCGTATTCAAATGATGCTGAACCAATGCTTCCTGAAGAATCCAAAACAATAAATAAGTCCATAATAGTTTTACAGTTATTCTCAGAACGTTCTTGTAAACGCTTCAGAAGGTTACCAGCGGTAGATGTTGCCAGGAGGGCCACGATGCAAACATAGAGAATACGCATTGTTGAAAGTGTTTCACTGTGCTAGTTGTTGCCTCTTATAATATAAAAAGCAAGGACTTTAGCAGTATTTTTTCCAACATAAGCAATCCTCACTCTGTTTTGCTTTTGATATCTATGAGGTGATTAGATAAGCCCTCGTAGTTCGAGAAGCGACGGAAAGTAAACATGACTAATGGTTTGCGCACTTTTTCTCGGACGAGAAGATACTGTTATAATATTCTTTCTAGAACTTAGGAGCCTGGATATGGGTTGCGAGTGATCAGCTCCTACACTCTCGCACATACTCGTATCCCCACCGACAACTATCTTACACAACCGGTAGTTAGATCGTAGCTCTTCAGTTTCTCGTAAATCCCCTAAAAATTCTGTATTATGCCACACAGAGTTTATCTGAGCCACTCTCAAATTCCTAGTTGCGATGCAACTGAAATCGGCGCAAAAATAGGAAGATTCACTTGGCAACTCTTGATACCTAGAAAACTAAGAATGGTCACATAATTAATGTTAGTTTTTCATTGAAGAGATGATCTTTTGTCATAAAGTATTCATGAATTTTGATACTCGCTGATAATTTTGATGCATTTGGCCTCCATGTGTTAACTATAGAGCTCAAATCGACGCCAATTATGGAATAAATTTTTTATTAGTGATAATGCTACAAAAAGTCTTGTATTTAAGTCTATTCTGACACTTTTTTCTTCTCGATAAATTTGACTTTTTTTAATAATAAATTTAAATGTGGGTAGTAAATACTCTTCGCAATCATTTATAGCCGTAACTGAAAGTAATAAGCACTACAGCCGATACGCTGTCCATATATCGGTGGTACTGCAAACAAACGTAAGACATGGACGGTGAAATACAGGCCTTTTGATGCAGTATTTTGTCGTAAACGTGTTTACAACGTGTCGTATTATGGCGTGCTGATAGTCCAAATCAAATGTCTATTTATAACTGTATTTTAGCTGTATATATATATGTATCATATTGCCATTGTACACCATGAATATACACTGCCATAGGCCGTCGATTGTCATCGTATTTACATAAGCTTTTCGTCAATGAACAGTCGGGCAACTTTGTATTATCCTTCTCTTTCATAGAAAAAAGAAATCTATAATATTCTTATGGGCAGTACCTCCCGCTGCCTCGCATTTGAGATTTCTCGAGAACAGCTCGGCAAAATTTTTCGTAACTTTCAGAATAGATAGATCTTGATGAGCAAAATAAGAGTTACCATAGATTCAAAAATCTTAAACGCTTTCTTTTTAGGAATAAACTGATTACTTCTGATTAACATATTATTCAGACAGACATTTTAGTTTCGATATTTCGTCGAAAAAATCATTAATTCTCTTGGTTTTCTAAAATTAAATATTATTTTCTTCTCAGATATAGTGTAAAACAAAAAAAAACGATACACTGTTTGTCCACCCATCATCGTTAATCATCAATCCTCTTTAACAAATACTGATTATTCATGCAAGTGTTGTTACATTGTAGCACGCTTCTTACGAGCAAGCGCTTATAGGTAAGAGGCATTTCGAACTCACATTATATTGCATACACACTGACAGTGTTCGCAATGATATGTAAGAGCGATCTGATAAGTTCGCTTGAGTTTCTAAACTACTTTTCTTACGTAATTGTAACAAAAAAAAAACAAAAATAGGGAAGTGAATAAAAAACTTAGGCTACTTTATTCATTTTTTGAAATTCTGTTTCTTGCCTATAGCATTTACCTTGCAGAAGGCATAATGTTTTCTTAAAATTACAAAATGCGCTATGAATATGTTTCATGCATAACAGTACAATTATTTCGATCATTTTGACGTTTCTATCTTCCGACTTTTTTTTATACTTTCAATACTTTGTTTTTTTAGACTGTTACCGTTTGGTAGTTTTCAATTTTCTCACGACGAAAGTGAAGATTATTTTGTAGAAGTAGGATTCAGCATCTTAGTGGCATATGGACATGCGGTAAGTATGCTGTTCGCCGAAAA